CGCTCTGTATCTGGAATTAATCTGTCTGGAATGGGTTTCCGAACCTTAGGTAGATTAAGTAATAACAATGAATAATGACGTCAATCATGTCTGGATCAGACGTTCGCGTTATGTCAATTTCTACCTATTTTCTGTAAAAATATAAGAGATAAAATAATTGTGCTTATTAAATATTTGGGACCTATATGAATCTGTCGAAAGCTACAAAAGTGTATAAGGACCGTAGTAGGCGGTGCTCTCTAATTGCTACCTACTCCCATTAGACAATGATATGACATATAAGTTGATGTACATACCTATGCATTTAATGTATTTTACCCCAGAAAATAAAAAACCCACTCTTGTATTTCTCCTGTATTGTGGCTACGTTTACAAACATACAATTTCACATACATATCACACCCAGCCAACGATTACCGAAACTACAATTTACGGGTCACACAAAAAGTTGCTCTGTGCAGTAATCGAATCGTTACACGTTGCCCGACAGCCGGTTGCCCAGTTACCGCACCAACCATGCAGTCGTATTGGAGGTTTTTTTTATATTTGATGGGGCGACGTTTGAACACTATCTCGCCTGGTGGTAAGCGATGATGCGATCTACGATGGAGCAAGTCGTCCCATAAGCAACCTATTCACTCGGGCCTTGAAGACTCCCAGGTTATACCCTTCAGGAAACACAGAATCTGGCAAAGAATTGACATTTAACAATGGACGAGCATAGGTCACCTACTACTCTGCGCATGTCCTGTCTTTGCAACCAATTTAAATCCGTTAGGCAAAAGTTTCAAGTCTCACAAACCAAGAGAAAGGTTCTTCTCTTTTTAGGATTATGTAGAAACCAGGTTTGCAAGCAAATCTTTCACAGATAGTGGACACAAAGAACTAAATACTACACTGTTCATAAGTTTGTATAGAACTTCTAGAAAATAAGGTAGCTTAGAATGCTATTCTAAGTCAGATTTTGTGACTCGAAATGTCATGTATTGTGAAAATGTTTTATTAACTATCACTATTTTATTGGGTGTAAAAAATCTCACTGTGTCTGCAAATGGGCCTGGTATATGGCAATAGACTCACTCCCTATTACATGTGACTCGTAACATAAATAGTGAAAAGTGGATGGAACATTGTATAGTAGCATAATGTGCACTTCTGCCTACCCCTTCTGGGATAAAAGGCGTGATGTTATGTCTGTATGTATGTAATATTAAAGGCATGTTATGTGACTATATCTATAAAAAAGTCTATTGTAACTAAAAGTCCTACCCTTCATAACAATCATTAAATACTAAGGTAGTATCGGAAAAAATAATTTAGCTTCGCCATGAAACATGTAATTTACGTCTAACTAATGCTTCACAAAACCACAATTTCCTCATACACAATTTTCATTTTACCGATAAAACTTCCATTCGGTTGGTGGTAAAATATTTCTTAACTTCGTTCAGCGACCAGTCATTAGCATTCTTCCGCGGTTTGAATAAAAAAATTGAGACATGAGACAAATTGTGAAAATAAAATGTATGAGAAAAATATTTATTTAGGTTTGTAATATCACACTGATACTGCCTGCCTCGTTGGCCGACTGGTCGCAAGTGCAACTGCCGGGCAAGTTTGCGACTTGCGAAGCTTGCGACTTGCGAAGTTTGCGACTGCCGAGTTTTTAAAAAATCTCAGTAGACGGAGTATGGAATTGTGCCCCGGTATATGGCAATAGGCTCACCCCCTATTACATGGAACTCATAACATAAATAGTGAAAAGTGGGTGTTACATTGTACAGTGGCATAATGTGCACCTCTGCCTACCTCTTCAGGGATAAAAGGCGTGATGTTATGTTATGTTACAAACGAATATTATCATTACAATTATTTTCCTATCAACAAAATCCAATTTACAATGCGATGAAATTAATTGTATGAAACAACTAGTTTGAAAGCAATCTGTTTATTTGCTTGGCGTATTTCAAGATACTTTGTTTATGATATAGAAATATTATGTGAATTACGTTTTGTTTATAGTGCAGTATTTTAGTCTGTAGTGAAGTTTATGACTGTACTGTTGAACTGGTGATCACATATGGAAGTTCTTACTCTGATTTTTGTGGTCTATAAAGTGTTATGGGAAAACAGTCTTTATTTTCCAATAAATCTTACTCCTCCCAGTCTAATTTTGTGTGGGTGTGTTGGTATATTTCGTCTATTCTGTTTTCGAATGTTCTCGGTGAATGTGTTAATTTTTTTTATATAAAGTTCTTTCTAACACACTACAAAAAATATCTTATTTGGTCAAGTGTTGTCCTGTACACATATCTCTGCCTATATCGTTGGTATGTCAGTAACATACATTACGCTGATATATTTTTTATTTCTATAAATGTTTTATTGCATTCCGAATTCAACATTTGCAAAGTGAACTCTGACAATATTCCAGTATTTTATTAATTTTTCGCACGAAAATAATCCGCAAGACTGTTGCTGGGTGCGAAGAAGGGTCTACCTGTTTTCAAGTAAACAGAAAGACCCTTTCTACTGTCAGGAAAATGTATTTTTTCCAATAAACGTACAACCGACTTCACTGTAAAATAATGACAAATCTAAAGAAGGTTGATTAAAGTTTCCTATCTCAAAAACTATTGAAACGATTTTGATGAAACTTGCAGTATGCCCTAAGTTGAACCATACATATTACAACAAAAAAATAATAACTTAAATCAGACTTGTAGTTCCAGAGATATGAGGGAACAAACATAAAAACATTCATACATACACTTGAAAAATTTGGCACATTTATTCAGACGCTGATGGAGACTTTTTTTTAAGTGGGGAAATTCATCGAATGTCTGCTCCCGCCTGGGTGAGGCGGGAGGGAGTGTCAGTAAGTCACCGACTAAAACCATCCCGTTCTTTCTCCTGCACGTCGAGCCGGAGCCCCAGTAACCCATTAGGTTCTCCGCGACACTGTTGGAGACTAACATATGTATATGAAATTGGGGAATTCTTTTTTTATGACATAAGTCGGTAAACGAGCAGACGGATCACCTGATGGTAAGCAATCGGCGTCGCCCATGGACACCTGGAACACCAGAGGCGTTACAAGTGCGTTACCGGCCTTTTGGGGATTAGGAGTTCTGATAATATTACATATATACGAGTCAAATTGATAACCTTTATATGAAGTTGGTTAAACAAGAAAATTTCTAAAAAAACTTAAGCAAAGCCGAGACAAGACATTGTCGATAACATGTATAAATTTAACAGACTCAAATAAACTAATCGACTATGCAAAATATAAAACAGATATAGCACGAATACATGACCAAATCCAAGTGCAGTCTCGGTTCTATCGCTCTAATAATTCGATAGGATGGCAACCCAACCTAACCTGAGAGACTTAGAACACAAGACTTATATGGTGGACATTCCACCCATTCGAACGAAGCGTTTCGCGTCAAGCTTCCTCATGCGAACCGCTAAGGAATGGAATTCTTTGCCAGAGGCTGTGTTTCCCGCCAAATATGACTTGGGTGTCTTCAAGTCCCGAGTGAACAGGTTGCTCATAGGTAGGCGTGCTCCATCGTCGGCCACATCATCGCTTACCATCAGGCGAGATGGTGGTCAAACGTCGACCTATAAAGTATAAAAAAAAAAAAAAAAAAAACTAACGGTACGGTATTCGGTACCTACGTATAATTTCGGTATATTCGGCTTTGTAGATACATTTTTTATAGAATAAAAAAATGATGTGTATCTACAAAAAAATTAGATTCCAACTTGTAGAGGTATTGTCAATGCGAATACATGTTAGTTCGTTCGTCCTTTTTACACTTCGTCACATTTAAGGGTGTTTTTTTATTATAATCTGGCAATGAGAAGTAACTTTTTTTTATTTTTACTATATGGGCGTAGCCATAGGTAACACCTAGTAAGATAAAATCAAAAATATAGTACATGTGACATTTCATTTCAAGTAAAATGACGAAGAGAACAATATAAAATAAACACGTTACAAAATCATGCGTAAAACACTAAAAGAGTTTTATTTTCGCCTCCCAACCTAAAAACCCTAAACGTAAGGTATCGGGCATTAAAAATTTAAAACGAAAATGGACAGTGACGAACAAATAAATGTTAGTACAGATACTTTAATGTATGAGAAATGTCAGCTGCCATCAAATTTGTATGGTTTCTAGTCTCATTATTTCGTATAGTTTCTACCCGTCCCTTCAATTATCAGGTAATGATTTTATGTTAGTAGTGTACCATAATGATTTATTTATTGATTACAACCTTGGCTTACGTAATTGTAATTAAATGTGCTGACTTAGGAACTTGGGAATTGGTACGATTTGTATACCGAAGATTTTCTTATGAAATTGTCGCCGAATAGTGCAAAAATTTCAATTCAAAATACGTTTTATAGTATTAGTATTTGGGAGTAGTCAAAATATTTTTTGTGATAGACTTACTTATTTAAGAGTAATTTAAATATAGTTAATATAAATCTATTTACGCCGTTACTGGCTATGCTTTAAAATACGTTTGTTTATTTATGAAAAAGATTCGATATTAAGGGCATAGTGTAAATTAAATCATTTTACTACCATGACAACATATACACATGTGTAAGTACAAATATATTTATTTATAGGTGAGTTAACATATTTCGGTATTTAACGCCAGCATACCTCGCCTACTATTTAGTTTAAGTCTCAAAATACATAGATACATATTTACCAATTTAAAAAAAATAATTATTTTTATTTAACTTATATGCCTATTAGTTCATTATGGGTAAAATATACATCTATTATGTGTACAGTTGTTTTCTTTCTGAAGATATACCTAACATCCATTTCCTAACACAGAATTTCATTTTTTTTTGATATAATAATAAATACCAAAATAATAGTATATAAAATATATTTTGAATTATGTCACATGTAACCAATAATCCGATAAAAAAATAATAATTAAAACCAAAAACAGAACACACTTACCTCTCGAAATAATTTTCACGACGACCGCTCGAACGTAGCACGCGTTCACTTCAAAAAAACTTATTAAATTCAACACAACAACAAAAAAATCTCCACGAATTGTTCACATTTATGCTGAACATCCATTTATTGACACATCACTACACGAAATTACGGAAAAACCGGAACGTGGGATTAAGAAGTTTCGGTTTTTACGCCTTCAGATTTGGCTGGGTATTAAAAATTTACGCTATGTTCGGTTTTCTCGGGAACACACGACCGCTCCGCGTGGTGCCAGCGACTGAACTAAATTACAAATTGTGGGAACGAAAGATTCTAAGGGCGGTTTCAAACGAACGACTACACGCTTCATAGTTGACTTTGAAGTGCAAACATTTCTTTTATTGAATGGAAATTTTGATGGATACACTTCTTGTGATGTACTTTGTCTGTTTTATTGTTACGTTTTGTTTTAGTTCGTTTGCGCTTAACCTTAAGCAGTAATACAATTACGTATTGAGCTTTTACGTACGCTATTCGAGCATTGTGACACAGGGTGATTATTATTTCTTTGTTTCTGTACCAGTTTTTGAGATAATAATGTTTTTTTTTTATACAAAAAGCGTTGCCTCACATTACGATTGTCTCATGTCGTATCGTGGGTGCACTTACAAACATACAAGTTTACACACACATGACACCCAGACCCGGAACAACAATCTGTGGATCGGTCACAGGGACACACCACCATCATCGCTTTTAACCACAAGACCGCGACAACTGAATAAAGATCTTATACACACACATGTAACTCTTTAATTTAGACTCAAATCTCATTATAACAAATCCGGTGATTGAACTCAGTCCATGGCTCAGACAGGGCAATAACACCTTTAAATAAATATTAATAGATAATATATTTCTTTGAGTTGTTTCATAAGAAAATATATCAGAGCACCAAAATAACATAGTGTAGGTGTCTTTAGACGTTCTCGTTCATAATATTTATTCTACGGTAAAATTATTTGGTAGTAAATCAAAATATAATCGAGTGCTATCGTAAACTTTTTCTGTTGCAGTCAATAACATAATAATATTGTTTTGTCAGGTATTTTGCAGACTTTACAAAACATTACTTACGTCTAATATTTCTGTTATAATATCTTCTGCCAGCGGCTGCCAGTGAAATTAAAAATTGGCCCATGTCTTATTTTAGACTATAATCTACCACTGTTCCAAATTTCATTTCCATTTCTTCAGCCATTTTGACATGAAAGAGTAACAAACACAGAAGACACACAGACATCCTCAAAAACTATCACATTTATTATATTAGGGTTTTTTTAAGGGGGGATTGAATGACTGCCCCCGCCTGGGTGAGGCGGGAGGGAAAGTCAGACTCTTACTGACTTATGGATGTTCTCGAACTCTGCGGAGAGTGGACGTGTCACAGTCGTATCTAAATTATCTGTAAAAGTCGCAAGCGATAATAGTGTTTACTACTCATGTATCAGTGCTCAATCTTATGTGAATCTATCGATAGAAATTAAATAAATAATAAGTAAACAGTATACTGCATAAACGTGCGGGGTGACCGCACACCTCACCTCTGCGATAAGAGACAGTCAACATAATTGTCGTCCTTGTCTAACACAGCTCATCACGGCCCTACTCACCTGAAGCGACGGCTACGTTACTACCGTCATAATGAATTGTGAAGCTTGTAATACCGACATCAAAAATGATGACAATGTCAAATGTGTTCGTTGTAAGAAACAATATCACACATTATGCGTAATTTTTTCCCAAGAAGATGTGAAAGATAAACAAACGTCGAATAACTGGTTGTGTCCACATTGTCGCAGTAAACAACCAAGAGGTGATAACTCCGGTACACCAGTGCGCCCTTCAACACCCACCTCAACAGCTGATATTACTTTCAACGTTACCCGCCGCAAGATCGGCCAAACTAGGCCAGAACCACCACAATATACTGGCCTGTCTGCTGAGACCTGGCGCACGGAGATACGCGAAATAATACGTGAAGAACTGCGTGATGCCTTGCGGGAAGCTGTGGGTGCATTGACATCGGGGCTAGTCGCAAACCTCAATGAAATGAAGGAGGAAATTAATGAATTTAAGTTGTCAATGAATTTTATTAATGGCGAGTTTGAGAAGCTCAAATACGAATGTAATATCCACCGTAATGAAATGAGTCATATGCGAAAACAAGATGAAGCTTTGCACCTGGAACTCGTTGACACCAAGAGGAAATATGAACAAATCGATTATTTGTTACGTGCCAACAACCTCGAAATACAGTGTATCCCGGAAAAGAAATCCGAAAATCTCATAAGCATCGTCAAACAACTTGGCCGCACCGTAGATGTCACGTTGAACGAGGGTGACATACAATACTGCTCCAGAGTGGCGAAGTTGAAACCGGATAGTACCCGTCCACGTTCTATATTAATCAAATTCAACAATTCTCGCCTCCGTGATACCGTGTTGGCGGCAGTGGCTACATACAATAAAACCCATGCGCAGGATAAGCTAAACACCCATGATTTGGGTTTTACTTCTAATGGAAAGTCACCTGTATTTGTTGTGGAAAACTTATCACCAGAAAACAAAAACTTACATGCCGCAGCCCGTATTCGAGCTAAGGAATTGAAATATAAGTTTATTTGGGTACGAGGAGGTCGTATTTATATGAGACAAAATGAGACCGCCGGTAAGATATGGATTCGCAATCTCGATATGTTAAACAAGCTTACCTAATGTCATTAACAAACATTGTATACATTTTTATTTTTAGACGTTTGGTTGCAATGTGCCTGTGTGTTAATAAGTACCTACATTCCCTCCGATATTAATAATGGATAATCCTTTGTATGGTAAATGTATAAAACTCATCCCAATAAGTTTTCATGTTTATTGTCGTATTGATGTTTGTGTGACCTGTTTTGTTTGCGTAAGTACCTCATCATTGCTTCATTTTTTGTATGCATTTATAGTCAAGGTTAGGGTTCGGTGTTGCGGTTTAAATTATCTTGATACACTTTATTGTTTACATAATAATAATATCATGCTTAGGTATGTTTTACAATGTATTAATTTGTGCTCGACACGTATTTTTCTATCTGTTTTATTTTTTATTATGTTTTTTTTGTTACCCTATTCTAATTACCTACCTGTCAAGCGAGTGTGGTCAGTCATGCAGTGGCGTATGTGTGCATTTATTCAAGTGCAATGGAGAATATTCAAATTACATTATTGTGTATACTTGAGTGGGTGTATGTTGCGTTCTGTCGTGTTGTTGGTGGCTTGGATTGTATCTGTACTCCGTTGCAATCCTTGTCAGTCGCGGTTGGTTAGACTATGCTTAACACAAAGTTAAGTCTATACTATCAAAATGTGCGTGGTCTGAGGACAAAAGTATTGTACACATTTAATAATGTTTTGCGTTGTAATTATGACATTTTGCTTTTTACTGAGACATGGTTGCAGAGTGATATCCTGGACGCGGAGGTGTGTGATGACAGGTACCAGGTGTTTCGATGCGATCGCGATCTGAGCTTGACTAGCAAGAGGACTGGGGGTGGGGTTATGTTGTGTATAAACAATAGAATTAAAGCCACAAAAATGAATGACTTCCTTTGTACCGGTACTGAGGTACTACACGTTCAACTGTCTGCGCAAAGTATTTCTGCGGTAAGAGATTTGCACATTATATTAATATACATTCCGCCTGATGCTTCTAACATTCCATCACAGTTGGAATCAATTATTGAATCCCTAACTAACATTCAGAGCTCGTTTAACAATCATGACTACCTATTTATAGGCGATTTTAACTTACCCTGCTTATCATGGTCGGACGAGGGCTCACTTACATTAAATGGTTTTTCACAACAAATGCGTATTGCGGCTGCTACGTTTGCGGATAGTATTGGTACACTGGGCTTCACACAGTATAATTTAATTGCCAACTGCAACAATCGTACTTTGGATTTATGTTTCTCAACGACACCGATAATTGTCAATCGTAGCGACGACCCTCTCCTACGCGAGGATGTTCACCACCCTGCCTTGTCATTGACTGCTCGCGATTTGTTTTTAACGCCTCTACGTGAAGTATATACACCACGACCTAATTTTCACAGAGGTAACTACGAGGACCTCAACAAATACTTTAGTAAAATAGAATGGGATAAAATATTAGCTGCTGACCTGGTCGATGACGCTGTTAGTGAGCTTTACAAAGAAATAAATATCGGAATAGAACGATATGTACCACTTAATAATAATAAAAGTAACCGTAAGTACCCCGCATGGTACAGTCGTCCTCTCATTAAAATTATTCGTGAAAAATCTAAAGTGCATAACAAATGGAAAAAATATGGAAATCCTCGGGATTACCAAGAATTTTCAATCCTACGCACTAGACAACATGACATTCTAAAATCATGTTTTCATAAATATGTATTGCTAACTGAGAAAAACATAAGTCATTATCCCAAAACTTTTTGGTCCTATGTAAAGGGTAAACGAGGTGGTAGTCAATATCCAAAAGCCTTTACATTAAACAATAAGGCCTACGATAATGGTTATGGTATCTGCACCGCTTTCAGCGAATACTTCCATGGTGTTTTTGTCAGGCCATCCATACACTCTTCTATAGGCACATTACCGTCAGCTACCACCAATGACTTTAATAATACTTCCAGTAATATAATATCGACACTTGATATCACTGAGGATACAGTACTCGGCACCTTGCGCACATTAAACAGAACCAAGGGCCCCGGAACTGATGGCTTGCCCCCCATATTTCTCCGTAGCTGTGCTGGTAGCCTAACACGCCCTATTACCTTGCTGTTTAGGAAGTCCTTAACTGAGGGCGTATTTCCCTCAGTGTGGAAGTCTGCACTTATTGTCCCTCTGCATAAGAAAGGCTCGAAATCGGATATTAAAAACTATCGTCCGATATCCATTCTTAACACACTTGGTAAAATGTTCGAGAGAATTATTTACAATAATATTTATTCAACGATATCCAATAGCATTGGTCCATATCAGCATGGTTTCATGAGACGCCGCTCAACAGTATCTAATCTTGCCACCTTTACTAACTATGTTATTCGTAATATGGAGGCGGGTGGTCAGGTTGATGCAATCTATACAGACTTCGAAAAAGCATTCGATCGCGTGGATCATGTCATCCTGCTTTCGAAACTCCAAAATCTTGGCATTCACGGCGACTTGCTTAGGTGGATCAGTTCCTATCTGTCCAAGCGTTCTCAGGCTGTTGTGATCGGTGGCTTTAGATCTGACTTTGTGGATATAACGTCCGGTGTCCCACAGGGATCCTTGCTTGGACCTCTGTTTTACTCTGCGTACTTATATGACATCCAAGCATGTTTCAAACACTCTAAACACCTTCTATACGCAGATGACATGAAAATATACTTGCGGGTTGAATCGGTGTCTGATTGTGAGCTCATACAACATGACCTTAATTCACTATACCGATACTACTCGCAGAATAACATCAATGTGAATATATCGAAATGTCAATCTATTAGTTTCACCCGTCGCATAAACCCCATAAAGTATTGTTATAAATTTGACAACATAGCTATAGAAAGAGTAGATGTCGTTAGAGATCTTGGTGTGTTGCTGGACTCTAGATTGCTATTCTCTGAACACATCGATAGTACAGTTGGTAAAGCCTCTCGTAATCTTGGATTTGTAATGCGCACATGTAAACCATTCAGAAACCTTCATAGTCTCAAGATTGTGTATCTTGCTTATGTCCGCAGCACATTAGAATATTGCAGTCCTGTCTGGTCTCCTCTATATAATATTCATATATCTCGTTTGGAGAATCTTCAGAAACGATTTATAAAATTTTTAAATATTAAAAGCCATAAACGCCACGCATCTTATCTGACGGATTGTAAACATTACCACTTATTGCCACTTGATGACAGACGGCAGATGTTGGACATGCTCCTTCTTTATGATATCCTGCGGGGTGGGATAGATAGCAGTGATCTCTTGTCATGCGTTGAATTCTGCACGCACAGGTGTCGAACAAGACATACTCACTTGCTTAGTATACCCTCACATCGTACGAATTATGGGAAAAATGCTGTTATGACTCGACTACCTCGCATTTACACAGAGAAGTTTGAGAGTGTGGATATATTTAATTTGTCAAAGGTATCCTTTCGTAAGTCGCTTATACAAATACTCACTAGTGCGTGACTCTTATAACATTATTATTCTTCTTAATTATTGCTTTATAAAAAAATGTCCTTGATTGTTTAATTTTATTTTATATTGCTCACTCTCCTACTTTTACCTAACGCATGCTGAAAAACTCTGTTATTGGCTTAAGTTTCCATGCCTTGTCATTATTTTAGATGTAGCATTTACTAAATAAGCTGTTGAGTTTTCTGTAATAAAAAATAAAAAAAAAAATAAATAAAACCACCCCGTTTCTTCTCCTGCACGTCGAGCCCCGGTAACCCGTTAGGTAGGATAGAGAGGTGTAATTAGGTACAGTATACTTAAAATTTTCAATGTATGAGGATTATAATTTGTGTTTTTGTATTCACCTTATATGACGATATAATCCAGATAACAGTGAGTCACGTGTTTCGGAATTCTGTTTTGTATAATACAATTATGGTAGCGTATGTGTGCATCTTATTTATTAAATAAACAATGCACATCACTAAAGGTGAACTCGATGCTGTGCTCGATGCATTATCATATCACGTGGATACTCGTTACTGGGCTTTTCGAAATCGAAACACTGCTATATACGTTTTCCTTTTTCCTTTTTTTTTATTCATGGCATAAGCCGGTAAGCGAGCAGACGGATCACCTGATGGTAAGCAATCGGCGTCGCCCATGGACACCTGGAACACCAGAGGCGTTGCAAGTGCTTTACCGGCCTTTTGGGGATTAGAAGTTTGAGAATCGTTGGGGATACAGGGATTGAGGAGATCGGGGAAGGGGAGGGTAATTGTAATTTTCTCATTAGTATAGTTTTTTTTTAAATCTATCATTTAAAAACCAATTATCATTTTCCATTTTCATTTTAATCATTAGGTTAAGATATAAGATTCATTATTAGTGGTAAACATTGAGTATGTAGATGTCACCCATTTTATTTTAATCTTGGCTTTGTGGGAGAACTTTTACGCCTATAAATACTTACATTTCTAACTATAAGTATTTATTCTATTTAGCACTAAATACGTGAATAAAGTAAATAGTCTATATTGTATTTCATGAGAAAATTGATGCACTTTTAGTAATAATCTATATTCTTCTACTTAAAAAAAAACAAAAAAAAAATAGTCTTATGATTTTTGTTAGTAAATTTATATTTTTTATGGATGTTGCGTTTAGCTACTTTCACCCTGACTTACAATAATTGGTGTGTGCTCGTCTTATGGATTTGTATAAAGAAATAAGAATAGAAACTTCCCATTGTAGCATGGAGAGAAGAGTTTGTTTTTTGTTTGAATGCGCTAATCTCCGTAACTACAAGTCTGATTTGAATAATTCTTTTTGTGTTGGATACCGCATTTATCGAGGATGGCTATGGGCTATAAAACATCACGCTACGACCAATAGGAGAGCAGACATAGCGTCTGAAACCACGCGGAAGTAGCTAGTTCTATCATGTAACCTGATTTTAACCTAAAAAAATCTTATTTTTCTTTTTGTTCAAATATTGAACATTTTAGTCACTGTTTATG